ATGTGGGTGCTGGGATTCGAACCCAGGTCTTCTGCAATAATTGCCAGTGTTCCTAACTGCCGAGCCATCTCTCCAGCCCCAATATTGGATTTTTAAATCATCCATCAAATAATAGGCAGGACGCAGCAGCCAATTGGAAATGCTCTGTACCTGCTGTCATCACTGTGCCAAGTGCCTGAAACATCTGCTTCTAGGTCATCCCTTTCATTACCTCAGATGATTGGTTTGGAGTCTGTTAGAAGATACTATTCCCCTCGTTTATCTTCTTTTGTTAAGGTCACCATGTTGGGAGAAACAAGATGTATTTTTTTAAGCATGTAAATTTAATTTTATGTGTACTGAGTTGAATCGTATCATTTTTAATAATACTGTTTTGCTTCTTACTAGAATCCCAACCTTCCTCTTTTATGTTTATTTATACTTTCATTTTATCATTGTCTTCATTTTGTTTCTTATGTTACATTTGAATTTGTTCAAATGTGTTTATTATTATTATTTTTATATTTGAATTCTTAATTTGTGCTTTCTAACCTTTTTGGATTGTTTGAGATGCTTTCTTATTCTGTATTCTCCTCAATAATTTGGAAATTGCATCTCTTTTTTTCTATTTCCTTGTGATTTACCTTGAAAATCTATCAGGAATTCTTTATAGTCTGATGTTCAGCCAGATTGTAGTGTCTTTGACGAGCAATGCAATGATTTACAGCATTAACTTCTGTCCTCTTATCAATGTTTTGCTCATCCATCTTTATAATTGTATTCTATGTATGTACAGCTCTGTTAGACTAAAGCACACACAAAAATAAAGGGGAAGTTGAGTGGATTACATGTGAACTCTATCATCTTTCTGTAAATCCAAAACTATTTTAAAGTAAAATAACAGTTTAAATTTATCTGGTTGTTTTTCAAATGTATATTATCAATTTTTACAATGTTTTCTTGGTTGACCACACATTTCATCTTTCATTGATAAAAATGGTTTTTAAAAGTTTGCAGTTGTGATATTGAAAGTGCTTGGCAGTCAGAAACTCTTTTCTGTTTGAGTTCCACTGACTTAATTATAGTTACATTTTTCTTATAAAATATATTTTTTAAAAAAGTATAGGCTCAAATGTGGTTGTATTTTATTCTGGGTAATCCCTGTGGCTTAGTTTGGGTGTTTTCTTAAGGATCTGTGCAATGGACTATGGGTGTTCTGATGTTAATGTTGGCTTCGGTTCTCTCTTAATGAGGTCTCCCCTCTTCACCTTGCAGCAGTTTTTGTCTCTTGATCCCAGGCTGCAATTGTCAGCATTTACACCCACAGTAACTGTTTATTTATTCATGCATTCATTCGTTCGTTCATTCATTCATTCATTCGTTCATTCTTATACTCACTTATACTTAGTCCTTTTATTATTTATTTATCTGGGAATGTTGCATGCCACTGCGAACATGTAGAGGTTAGAGTACAACTTGTGGAAGTTGGGGTTGAGCTCAAGTTATCAACAAGTGCCTTCATGCACTAAGCTAGCTCCCTGGTCCATGCATTTCTTATTATTACTTTACTTTTTTTTTTTTTTTTTTGAGATAGGGTCTCCCTTTAGCTCCAGCTGTCTTAGAACTCATAGGTAGACCAGGCTAGCCTCAAAGTCATAGATAATCCACCTGCCTCTGCCTCCCATGTGCTGGAATTAAAGGCATGTGCCACCATGCCCAGCTGCAAAATGCAATCTTTATCTTCTTTTCTACTTACACAAAAACACATAAGGGCATTCATACACATAGGCAGCTCTAAACAAGTGAAGGGCCTGTTAGAGTATCTTTGCCTAAATTGTGGGGAAGGATCTGAATGGAGCACAGAAAAGATGGAAGCAGAGGGGAAAACAAGATAAACACTAATGTTCAATAGAGTTCTCAGTCTTTCCAGGAGTATCTTACCTTATCTTAGTAGGTTAAAGGTGAATAGAAGTTGAGCCATGAGATACTATTATTTTGAAGAAAGCCACACTTAGCTTTGCTTTTTGTTTTAAGAAATAATAATTGGCTCAGAGGAATTTGGAACAGAACTTGAAAAACAATACAATCCTGAAAAGAAATACAGGATTTCCTAGGGGAATACTTTAAATTTTCAATTTTCAATAAAGGACATTATTGACACTTAATGAAATTTGATTAGATGAACTATATATCAGATAACAGTAATGTTCTCTTTAAATTTTCCTTTATGTGATCATTGTAATTATGAGAATATTTTTATTCTTAGAAATACACACTGAAGTGTTAAAGAATAAAGGGACAACATACTGAGAAGGTTCAGATACATAAAATACATAAATATGTTAGTGTCTTTCATTTATATATTTATTTTTAACTCAGCATGTGGTTCTGGATTCTTAGTGTTATTGTTTATGGTTGCTCACATTTACTCAGATATGATTTATTGACCACCACTGTTCTATAACATTTCTAATCCACCATGCCCGGCTACTCTCTTACTTTTAAATGGAAGACAACTGTGAAATTGTGATAGGTTGAAAATAAGTGAATTTTAATCAATTCTAATGAATAGTTTTAGTCATCTTGAAAATTGTAATCCCTTGTCTAACTGAGAAAATGATCTCTTTTATAGACGTAAGGTGAATTTTGGGACATGGCCACTGCTTCGCCAAGGTCTGATTCTAGTAATAACCACAGTGGAAGGTTACAGTTAAAGGTAACTGGTAAGTGATTTTAATAATAATTTGCTATTGTGGTGACTAGATGCATTTTGTGTATTGAATTAGGCGAACTTATTCTGTAAGTGATGCTCTTGAGAACTTTGTTGTGAAGTGGGACTGATAACAGGTGGTACCAGATTTAGTGCCTTGTTTCATTTCTGTTCTTTTCTCCTTGTCTTTGCCTTTATCATTTTGTTAATCTAAGCTTTTAAAGTAAAAAATCACCTTATAAAATCCACAATCTTGATTTTACAATACCTTGAGTAATAAAAACTACAGATTCAGAAAGATAAGTGCCTTCTATTAGTAACAGGATACTAGTTGAGATGTTAGGCTGCTGGACTATTATTCCTCTTATTAGATAACAATGTTCTTTGTATGGGTTTTTCTGTTTTCTTTTTCTTTTTTTCTTTGCAGTCCTCGAGATTGAATCCTATTCATGCTAGGCAAGTACTCTATCACTGAGCTGTAGCTGCAGTCTACCTTAGCCCACTAGTCCTCTTATTTTATTTAAAAACTAAAAATCAGGTAGCATAAATTTAATTATTGGAGACTGGAAGTTGCCTGTTTGTAAACTGAGCTACTTTACCCTAAGTTAACATTTTGAAATTCTAATTTATGTTTATTAATATAAATTTAGTTTAGTTTCTTTGAGTCAAGGTCTTACTACCTAGCCCAGATTGGCCTGGAACTGACTATGTAGCTGCAGCTAGCTCTGGCTTTGTAATCCTCCTGCCTTAACTTCCCAAGTACTAGAACTACAGGCATGTAACACCATGCCTGTCATAATTTTTTTTTTTTTTTTTTTTTGAGACGAGGTCTCTGTATAACCCATGCTGGCTTCACGATCTTCCTAGAAATTACAGGTGTGTACCACTGTGCCTGTGCCTGGACTTACATTTTTTTTCCTTATTTCTGCTCTTAATTTATATCTGATAGGAACCACCTCATATAATAAGAACAGTGGGTTGTCGGTAGAGCTCTGTGGTAGAGTGCTTCCCTGGTATACCTGAAACCTGGATTTGATCCCAAGTTCTGAAATTCAACCCTTCAGTCAGTTAATAAATATCTATGAAAGCAGGAAAACCAAGATGGCAAAGTCAAGCAGACAGTAACTCACTGTAATCTGGTAATGTACTCTACCATGAACATAAGATATTAGCAGGCAGTGATGCATCATTTTCAGTATTGTAGATTTCAAGATTTTTAACATGAAAAGGTCAAAGCATAGACGTTTACAAGACATAAAAAGAATACTTGATTATTATTCTCATTTATAATTTTTTTAGCTATGTACCTTAATTACACTTTTAAAAATAAATTAACATTTACTTTATTTATTCTATATGTGTGAAGGTCAGAGGACAACTTGCCGGAATCTCTCTGCTTCTACCATATGGGTTCCAGAGATTGAACTCAGGTCTTTAGGCTTAGCCCCAGGTGCTTTTACCCACTGAGCCATCTCACAGACCCTTAATTTCACTTTTCAAAACTGAAAATTTAAATGCATGTGTCTTGAGTGTTTATGGTGTGAGACTATTTTTTGACAGTGTTTGATCATTTATGGCCCAATCTATCTTTCTTGTTGATTTAAGAGTTGCCATCCTACTTGCTCTGTTCATGTTTCTTGCATTACTGTCAGACATATTTATGTTTTATGGTATTTAAATTTGGAGAAATCTTTCAGTTTGCATTTTATGCATATTTGTGTCTCTATTATTATCTATTTTCTTTTTGCTGTTTATTTGAATTTGAGTCTCCTCTTTTTCACTGTTCCTACCCAAAACACTCAAAACAAGTAAGTTAGTATTTTTACTGTAAAATGATATATTAAATTGGAGATAATTTAAACCTTTTACTGTTGAAAGTTCCAGATCCAAGAATATATCAAGTCATTGTCTTCCTCTTTTATGTCTAACGTTAAGTTTTACGGTTATTTTCATGTGGATCCTATACATTTTTTTGTTACTAAATTTTTTTAGGGAGGTTATTATGAGTGAGTTTTAAAATTAAGTCCCCTTTCCCTTGTTCTGCTAGTTTTTCAGTATTTATATATTCTTACCACGGGGGGCATTCTGTGTATAGCACTAAAGATAACTCAGTAAATGGAAAAAAATGTAATTTATCCTAGGTGTTTCTTTCTACTAATTAAACTCCTGTTTGAAATACTAGTGTTTTTCCTTTTTTTTAGTTTAAAATCATCCTATTAATTTTATGTGTACTATTTGGGTAATATTATTTTGTGAGATTAAAAATAACTTAGCCAGGCATGATGGCACATGCCTTTAATCCCAGCACCTGGGAGACAGAGGCAGGCAGATCTCTGTGAGATGAAGGCTAGCCTGGTCAGCATAGTAAGTTTGAGGACAGCTGGGGCTTTGGGAGACCTGTCTCTATTTAAAAAGTAAAGAAAAAACCTTAAAGAAACCTATTACCTTGCCAGCTTCTAGTATTATTGAGCACTTTGTCAAATACAGGTATACAGTAGATATGTTTTGAGTCGGTCTGCAGTTCACTCAATAATAATAAGATAGTTACAATCACAATGTTAGATGCCAGGAATTTATTGACAATGATACTGCTTTTGCATGCCTTCACTCACCAATCCTAAGAATTGGATATTATTGTTCCCCTGTTTTTCAGATGAGAAAATGGAGGGGCAGAGTGGTTAAATGACCTCCTTCAGGTCAGGATTCTAGTGATGGCAAAGTTAAAATACGAACCCAGTTATTTATTTAATAACCATATAATTAGAAGAGGCATTTCATTACAACAGCATTGACATATTCAATAACAATTTCCAGAGCTAAGATGCTTATCTTTCAAAATTGGCTGTAAATTTTTAGGTTTACAGTTGAATTATTACAGTTATACAATATTGTACTCAGTATAAACCCTATAAGACATAAATTAAATGATGTTTTAACCTTTAAAAAGATCTCCATTTCATTATTAAAATACACAGTTTCATACAGAAAAATTCTTTTTCAATGCAATTGACATTGGATGTTCGCACATGCATTTCTAATCTCTAAATATCTGATTATTACTAGTCACTGTTGGTTACTTTCTGAGCTTCTAGGCATCTGAGCATGGATCATTTTTATGCTTTGAAGAATTTTGTTTTTTTATACACCCACTTCCCAGGTAGCACCCTCCCATAGCCTCTGTCCCCCCACTAGAGCCCTTATACTCTGATATCCCTGCTCATGTCTGCTGTGTTGTCAGCACCGCCAGCCATTCCCCACTACTTGCCCTTCTGGTGAATCTAGTCAGCCTATCTAGAGGTCTTTGTTTTAGGAGGGTCAGCTGTTCCTCATCTAGCAGCAAACAGTTATCAATATTCCTTTAGATAAGATTGGGGTCTGCTGTTCATTTTCTCAGTTCTATGCTGGGTTACTATCTGGGAATCCCTTTGGCCACCCTGGCCAACAACTCAAAAGAAGGTATCTTCTATCTGGCATTGTTGCTTGTTATATAGCCTTTAGCTATATATATGGACTCTTATGAAAGTATATTGACCCCTTTAATCTTTGGTTATACTTTCCTTTGGGGTGTTTAAGGCCATACAGTTGGTCCAGATAAACCGATTTATTTTTACTCTTAAGGTCGTTTGAGGATCTGTTCCCCAGGGGTCACATGGGGTTGGGAGGAGCCCCTGGCTCTTTTTTTTACCAGTTCTGCCTATGTGAAGATAGGTCAAAGGTCCTGCTCGACCATGGTTGGCTTCGCTTGGAAGCATGGAGGAAATGAAACCTCTGTGTTGACCCTCGTCTTTATAGACTGGACAATGGTTCATGTTCATCTGGTGGGGTCTCCTCGGCCTCCTTGATCAAGAGGACAGATGACCCAACCACCATTATAGGACATTTTGAGAGATGCTCATAGTCCCCTGGAACTATTTGATCTAGGAGGACAAGGAGCAAAAAGTGTCCTTTAGGTCCTGCTGACCAAATTATTATAGACCTCAAAGTATGTCTGTTAAATACCCAAGAAGGTTAGTTCCACCAGTCTGGTATTTTTAATTACTGTGTGTCCTGTAGATAAATCTTAGGCAAAGACCAGTTCTTCTCAGACAAACCTTACCTAGACATATATTTCTTGATCTGCTATGTATAATTTGTTACTAGTTTGTAGGAGTAATATGGTTCCCTCTGGTTTTCAAAACTAGATAGGCATTGTTTATCTCTCACATTGTCTGACCCCTCCATCATGGTTTTCCCTCTTAAGGTACCCCCATTTCCCCCTTTCTCCCTTACTAATACCCTTCTCCTATGGTCCTACCTCTCTTGAGCTCCTTCTTTCCCTTTATATCCTAGGTTCCTTGTATACCCTTCCCTCCCCACTCCCTTAAACTAAACCAATTTTCATTCCTATCTCCCTTATTAAGGCCTATTTACTGCTGTTCTTCTCTTTCCTTTACCTCCCTGTTTCCTTCCCATTATCCTGGTTCCTGTAAGTTATGTCTAGATACATACTCACTTACCAGGGTTTGGTTCTAGGATCCACATATGAGGGAGAACATATGTCAATTTTTTTTCTGAGTCTGTGTTACCTCACTTAGTATAACAGTTTCTAGTTCCATCCATTTACCTGCAAATTTCATGATTTCATCTTTCTTTACTGCTGAGTAAAACTCCATCATATAAATGAACCACATTTTCATGACCTACTCATCAATTGAGGGACACTAAGTTGCTTCCATCTCTTAGCTATTGTGAAAAGAGCAGCAAAAAACATAGATGTACAAGTGTCTCTGCGATAGGACGAGTTCTTTAGGTATATGCCAAGGAGTAGTATAACTGGGTCAAATGGTAGGTTCATTTGTAGTTTTTTAAGAGTTCTCCACACTGCTTTCCATAGGAGTTGAAACAGTTTGCAGCCCCACCAGCAATGGATGAGTGTTCCCCTTTCCCCACATCCTCTCCAACATTTGTTATCATTTGTTTTCTTGATCTTAGCCAGTCTGACTGGGGTAAGGTGAAATCTTAAAGTGGTTTTAA